AGCTGGTGGGGTCCAGGCCAGGGTTTTTCCCTCCCTTCTCCTGCCGTCGGGGTCGTGATAGCCTGGGGAAGGGCCGTGCCAGGGGCGAGACGGCAGTGCCAGATGCACCAGTGAAATGGAGAGGGGGCTGCTTCGGGAAGGAGGGGGCATGGCCGAGGGAAAAGGGAGCGGGAAAGTGGCCGAGGGAGAGCAGAGGTAGGGCCTCTAGAGGCAATAGAAGGGCGGACGCCTTGGCACCGGCCCTGAGGTACAGAGAGGCGAACGGCGCCCAGTGCATCTGGCTCGCCGCGTCCCCCATCTGTGGGGTCGCGTCCGACGTCTTGCTGGACCCAACCTGGATTTTTCAGCAGCCGAAATGCCATCCCTCACTTGATTCTCGACAGTCCTGGAACCTCCTGATAGTTCCTCAGTGACACCCCCGCCCCCCCAGCCCTTCCCACGTTTCTCTTCTGGTCCACACAGCTCCCTTCGCTAAGAAGTCGGAGGGGGGAACCCCGACCTGAAATTCCCGCCTACCCCCCCCCCCAACTCCGGGCCCTTATGGCGCCAAACCACCGAGACAGCTGCGGCCAAGAAACGCTGACTGGGGGCCCCGTCCCCTCCCACGAAACCCCGGCAGGGCCCCTGGGGCCTGCCGCCACCCCCGCCCCGCCCCCAGGCCCGGACTGGAATTGGGAACTGGAGGGCAGGTGTGGGGCCTGCAGGGGCCTCGTGGGGCTAGGGGAGCGTCCCAGATCTGCACGTTCTAACGTAAATCTTCAGGCGGCCAGCTAGACCTTAATTTGGGGGGAAAGTAGCACAAGGGGGTTAAATACCCGGAGAGTGAGATGCTTAACCAAAGAGAAGGAGAAAAGCCCCGGCTGGGAGTTAACACTCCTTGGGAAGACTGATACCTGGGGCTGACTGGGGACAGCGAGTCAGAGTGACGGCTGGCTGGGCCACGTGAGCCAAAGGGGCCGCCGCGGAGGAGTTAGATGCTTGCAGAGCCTGGAGGAGAGAGGTCTTCTGGCGGGAAGAAAGGCTAGCCCGGCTCTGCCTGGGCGGGGTCCTGAGTGAGTGGGTCTGGGGGCCTGTTCTGGAATGTGGGGGGCCGCGCTGGAAGCGGAGCGTCAGCCCGCGCCAGGCGCCCACCTCTTCCCCGCTGCCCCCCTTCCCCGGGCTGCCTCCGCTTCCCTCGAAAAACCCGCCGCCCAGGAAACCGCTGGGGGCGTTCAGACCGCAGCCCCCCCGCCCGCCGCCCCCCGGGGAAAAACTTTCTGTGTGGTGTGGACAACGGCGACCGACGACAGTCACGGCGTAGCTCATCACACAGGTACACGTCTGNCCACCGCGACCGCCCAACCCACCTGAAGGGGCCGTGGCTGCCAGGGTTGCCCCCCTCCCGCCGACTCCCCCCACACCTGCGGGCGGCACTATTTATAACTTCGGCGCCTATTCCGGGCCCCCGGGCGCAAGCGGGCTGCGGCGCAGCGCTAATCGTCTCGGGGATCTCTGCGCCCCCCGGGGCGGGGGGAGATAAATTTAGCTTCAGGAAGCTCGGGGGAACATTTTCCAAAACTCCACGTCCCAGGGCAGGCGAATCAGAACCCCTCTGCTCTCAGCCTCCCTCTAGCCAGCCACCAGGCGGCGCAGGCCCCCCCGGGGCTCCTGGAACCCAGCGAGGAGTTTGGGGCGCAGCCTTGAAGCTGGGATAGGTAAAGAGCTGAGGGCGAAAAACGGAAGGGTACGGAAAGCTAGAGGTCAGAGGGGCCAGAGAATGGCCGGAAGAATGGGTACGCCCCGAAACTGGAGTAAATTTTCAGCTGGGAGTAACTGAGAAAGGGGCTGGGGACTTCTACCTTTTGAAGGGAAAATAGTTCATGCAAACAAGATGCAAATAAGAGCCTGTGCCCTTGGAGCGCTCTGGCGCTAGTGAAAACTGCCACGCACCCCTTTCCAACCGCCTCTCAATGTTGGTGGGAAAACGTGAGACCCCTTAAGATCATTACTATAATGTTCAGTTTATTTCGCGCGCGGCTTTGCATACCACTCCCTAGACCTCTCTCCGACACTTGCCTTCTGTATACCATTGAGGGTCTTATATCCGACGAAATCAGCTGGGATTCCTCGTATCAGGCCGTTCTTCCTCAGGCTGTGGTCCTTGGGGGTCGCTTTCCAGCTCTGCCTTGTCTCCTTGCCCTTTGAACTCCGCCCATTCCCCTACTCCTTGTGGCCACTAGAAAGCTCCGGGGCGCAGGGGGTGGATGAGGTCTTACCCATCCCTCCCAATGTTGCCACTCAGCTTCCCTTTACCACCCCCCCCCCACACACACACCCCACTAGCGAGTTCCTGAGAGAGTAGCTCGGACACCCTAGGTGGCAAGAGAACGCTGCTCAAGCAGCTGCAGCTCTTCCTCCTAGAGGAGTCGGGAGGTGGAGACCAGGGAACCACCTCCCGGCCTGTGTGGATTTAGGGAAAATGAGGAAGCTGGGGGCTCCACATGAGCCCGGGAACCAAGAACAAGGGGGAGCTTAGGGTTGAGGGGAAAGTGGGGGAGCATGGAGCGGATGCAGAATGGGGGTGGCAGTGCCCTCCACACTTTTGCTTGCCGGGCCCCGCCTCTCAGGCCCCCTAGGCCACCATCCTCAGCATCAGTTCAGGAGAGGAAGGCAGGCTAATTGAGAGAAGCCCTGAATCTGAGATGAGAAAACCTGAGTTCACTAAGTGACTACCCTGGTGCAGGGTGCTGTGGATGGGTCACCTCACCTCCCTGGGTCTGTTTCCTTCACATTAACAGGAGATAATTACCTTTGTTCTGCCTACTTTTGAAGTGGACTTTTGTGAGGCTTAAAGCCCTTTGTAGTGCAAAAAGGGCTCTCAGAGTGGTTTTTGTTATTCTTTCCCCCCACCCCACCCCCACCCCCCAGGCTTTCCACACCAGGGCCTCTTTCCAGCTCTGACAATCTCCTTGGGCCACTGGCAGGCTCTACTTCTCCCCCTCAGGTCCCCACCACGGGGCCAGTCACAGGCCACAGCTCTGAACCCTGCCTTTCTCCTGCGACCGCTTCCCCAGGGGTCTTTGCCAGACGTCTACACTGGCCAAAGCCCTCTTGCTCCGAACTCTCAGACTCCAGGATATACCTCCAGGCACTGCCCAGCTTGGTGGAAGTGGGAGCCTCAGAAAGGAAAAGGAGGCAGAAGGCCAGGGAAGGGCTGGAGCTGGCCCAGCAGGGAGCAGGTTATAAGGGGGAGGGGAAAGGAGGAGCCCCAGACTTGGGCAGGTGCATTGTGTGTCCACTTCCACCACTAACCTCTCTTTCTCTGGCTGGATTCAGGACCTTATCTCTTTTCACCCTTGTGCCCTGGGGCGACGGTGGGGCTCTGAAGAGACCAGGCACGAGCACTGACCTACATTTTGTGGGTGCCTAAAGAGGGGTGCTGAGCGGCCAGAGATAAGAAAGCATCTTGAGTTGAAGTACTATGCTGTCATGAAAAAGAATGGGCAGGGTCTGAATGCACTGATGTGGAATCCTGTACGAGGTACATTAAGGGGAAAAAGCAAGGCGCAGAATGGCGTGTGTCGTCAGCTGGAAGAATCCAGCCCCTTGTCACCACTGCTACTGCTCTGAGCCATCAACTTCTCTGTGCCCATTACCTCCTAGTAGGTCTCTCCTCTCTCACCCTTGCTCTCCATATGTCTGTTTTCAACAGAGCTGCCAGTGGGAGCCTTTTACATAAAGTCAGTTCATGCTCAGTGCCCTGCAGGAGTCTCAGTCAACATAAAAGTTCGAGTTCTTACTAAGGCGTACCAGGCCCTCCGGGACTTGGCTCCACTCCCATCCTCAGTTCAGCCTCCCCCCCCCCCACCCACAGCACCTATCACCGAATAACATCTCTACACTTATTTTTTTTTTCTTATATTTTATTTTCTATTTCCACCCATCAGAATGTAAGCTCGGCGGGTCCAGGGACCTCTTTTGTTCACGGCCATATCCGAAGCCTCCAGACTGGCATAATAGTAGATGCTCTATAATATTTGCTAAATGAATGAATGAATGAAGATGCAATATGTGCTCAGACTATCTCTGCAATGCTCTCCAAGAGACTGGTAACCATGGTTACCCTCAGGGAGGAGGGTTGGGGGCCTGGGGGATAGGTGTAGGAGGGAGACTTGCCTTTTATTACCGGATCTTTTACTCTAGGCATATAGTACCTTTACAAGAAAAAATAAAATAAAATCAACCCAGAGAAAAAGGAGTTAACCGAGAAGGCTGGGGAAGAGCTGATCCCTGGGAGTTGGGGGGATGGTCTCACACACCATCTCCAGGTCAGTTCCTCAGGAGAGAATGAGAGGGGCAATAACTGGGCCCCAAGACACTGAACAAGCCCTCTGGCTAGCTCTTAGGTTGTGGGGGGCTGTGAGTGGGCAGGACAGTAAGCATGCGCTAAGCACGGCTTGTGGGTATCCACCACTGGGAGTAATAAGGGAAAGCAAGCGCTGGCGGCTGCCAGGGGGACGTGCAGAGTCGATTCGCTCCCCCTGGCTGACTGTGTCCTGTGATCAGCCTAAGGGACGTTTGTGGCCACAGAGGTGCCTTTCCAGCTTTGTGAGCTGGAGGAACAGGGCCCTCGCCTCCTCCATGGGCTGGGTTCCCAAAGATCCTCGGAGGTGGGAGCTGGCCAGACCAGCTCTTCAGGTGGGGATCCCATCATAATGTTCAGGGCCTCACATTAGACCCCACCAACTGGGAGGAACCTGGCCTTTCTGACCTTTCCTCCCCCCCCCCGCCCCCCCCAGGCACCAGTGAGTCAGGAAACTTGGCTTTCAGTCTCAGTTCCATCCACTGACAACCTCCTTCCCTCCCTGGTTGGCACCCTGGCTACGGGACCCTGCTGACGCTGCCTTTTTTTCCTGTTTCCCCTTTAGATACTGAGAACGTTTGCCCTCAAGGCCTATTATATATATATATATATATATATATATATATATATATATATATATATATATATGTATGTATGTATGTATAGTTCAGTGATTCTCAAACAGGGACATTAGGGGGCATTCCCATTCCTGGCACTAAGAGGATACAGATCAACCATCTGGGCTGGTGGGCTCACTGTGCCAGGCTTGGAGGAGTGCCAAGTCCTGCTGCAGTCTTATTGGGGTCCTAGCCAGCAGGCCAAGGTCCTGTGCTCAGAGGTCCACCGGGTGGGGGCTGGGAAAGCAGGCCCAGAGATGCGGCAGGTCTGACAGATGGCACCAACTCAAAGCAGGATGCACACTTCACTCATTGTTTGTGGCCCATCCTTGGTCAAGCGCAGCTGGCCCCAGGGGTCTTGATGGGGGCTGGGCTGGGCACTGAAGAAGAGAACGGGAAGCTAAGAGGCTGGCTCTGGCTGGGAGGCTACAGCCATGCCTGCTGCTTGCCCTACTCTGCCCACCTGAGTGATATCAGCCCTGGCGCTGGCAGGGAGGCAGTTCCCTGCCGCCATCAGTCCAGCAGCTCCTTGATACACCAGCAGCAGAGGAGCATGTAGGCGGCTGCCTTCAGGGTCCGCTGCAGGCCCTCCCACGTGGTGCCCATGCCCATCTTTACGACCGGCACTCGGAGTCCAGCGTCTCGCAGGGCCCCTCCAAGGGAGAAGGGGAGGGCCTGGGCTAGGGGCTGTGTCCGGGCCTGCATGTGGGCAGCAGCTCTGAGGAAAGGTGTGGGAGCTGTCTCTGCAGCCTTTTGTCAACACTGTCCCCACCCCCTCAGACCTCCTGACTACAGGGACAAAGGCCCCAGGGTCTAACACAGGGAAGGTTCTGGGCTGGGGAACGGGCTGAGTCAGCCCCTATGCAGACATGGCGGAGGGGTGGGGTTAGTAGGAGGAGGGCTTGGCCACTCCATCTGTCACCCTCCACAGCCAGGCCAGCTCAGCTTCCCTGCTTCCAGCCTGGGACGTGGAACCTCAGGTGCCCTGCCTGGTTGCCCTTACCCCCGGTGGTTGGCACAACTCCCTACTCCCGCCCTCTGGTGGGCGCCTGCTGAGGATGGCATTCAGAATCACCAGAGAGTTCCTTTCCAGACTATTCTGCACCCTCACCCCCACCCTGCCCCCGATGGAGCACGGCCAGCTCCAAGCTGGCAGGGCCTGGCCCACTGATTCTCCCACCCCCTGGCAGGAAGACACAGCGAGAGCAAAAGGCCCGCGAGAGGCACAGTTTATTGAGAGGTTGCGCCCAGGACAGCCTCCTTGGCTCCCGGCTGGAGGGCAGGGGTGGGAGGTCACGTGCGGGAGTTGCGTTCTTCATCCTCATTCTCAAGGAGGTAGGCTGGTCTGTAAGTGGGCTGTCCTCCTGGGCCCAGGTACTTCAGGGCGGGGTTCCGCACCGTGTTCTCCCGGCTCCCCAGTGACGTGTAGCTGGAGCCAGAACAGAGGGCGCGTGTGTGGTGGGGTGGCTCCCCCCATCCCAGCACCTGCATCTCCCCACACAGGCTCTCTTCCCCCAATATCCTTACCCTCGGTCATACAGGATACAGTACGGGACAAACAGCTGCCGCAGAAAGTCCCAGATGTCTCTGTAGGTCCAGTCCTGGGAGGTCAGAGAGTCAGTGAAGAGTCACGAATACCGCCCTCTCCCATTCTACCCCTGCTGCCTGGGAAGGGGCCTGTCCAGGGCTCTTCTCCTCTGGTGGAGGGCCTGCCATCCCAATGGCTGGTACACCTGGCTCTGTGTAGGCCAAGCAGTGAGAAGAAGGCTTCCTGGGCCCCATCCACCCTCAGCTGGACTGTGAGCAACAGGAGGACAAGGAGGGGCTGCGTCTGTGTGAGCCCGCGCCGTCCGGTAGAACTTTCCGCGGTGATGGAAATATTCTTTCTGTGCTAGCACAGTGGGCACAGGGTGTGTAGCTCAGGGTTTTTTTTTTCCCCATCATTTGTATTTCATTTTCATTAATTACAATTTCAGGATAAATAAATGGATAGTGGCTAGCATACTGGACAGCACGGGTCTAAGACGTTCTGTCCACAGTGAAAAGCACGATGCCTGCCACTGAATTAGTGCTCAATAACCATTGGTCGAAAGGCTGAATGAACAAATAACACAGCCTCCCTGGGACGATGGGGCCCCTTCATCCACGCCCCACCTCGGGGAATACAGGGAGCAGTGACGGACAGGGGACACAACACCGAAGGTAGTCAGTCCCCATCCGCATTACCAGCAGCGGGTTGACGCGCATGAATGAGGGCCAGCCTGGGTCGGTGGGGCTGAAGGGGCAGAGGCTGCATGAGTAGGGGTCCGTGCGGCGGGTGCCCATGAGGACGGCCTGCAGCTGGGGGTGCCGTGCCTGCAGCTGGCTCAGGGCCTGCTTCATGTCGCCCTCAGCCTCCAGCACCTGCAGACGGTACCTGAGGGAGGAAGAGGGCTAGGGGTCACGAATGGGCCCTGCCGAGCCCCTTAGAACTCAAACCTCCAGGCCCCTGGTACCTCTTTTTTTTTTTTTTTTTTTAGCTGAGCCATCCTGCTACCTGTTGGCAGCTCAGCGGCTGCTCAGCTCGGGCTGGACTCGAACCACTATTGCTCAGAGCTCAAACTCTTGAGCAAGCTCTTAACCAACTGAGCCACTCGGCCGGCCCCCACTGGTACCTCTTGATGGTGTCTTGCAGAAACTGCTCCAGCTCAGGGAAAGGGGAGATACTGCGAATATATAGGATCTGGAGGGGTTCTTGAGCCTCAGCGCATTTCCTGCAGGGGCCGGGAGAATCCACAGGCTTGTCAGCATGGGCAAGGAATTGCTCTCCAGAGAGTTTGCGCCATTCTCCTTGGCCCCTGGGATGGACAGCCCCCAACTCGCCCTTCCGTGTCCTTCCCATCCATCAGAACCCACTTCCTCTGGGAAGCCCACTCGGATCTCTTCCGTCTCAAATATAGAGCACACATCCCTGTTTCAGGTAGGTTAATCTCACCTCCCCACAGGACGGGGACCTCCCTGTAGTCAGGGATGGTGGTTTGCACATCCACACCCCAGGCCAGGCATGTGTCAAGTGCCCCATAAATATGGTGGGGGAATGGAACCAAGAGGTTGCTATGGCTACCTCCCTCTCAGACCCCAGCCAGACAGCCCCTTTCCTCCCTGCTTCCTACGCTAGGGAGCTAGAGAATGGGGACAGATCAGGTATCTGGGGGTCTCTGGGCTCCTGCCTCCAGAGAGTAGGCTCACCTCTGCACAGCTGCATGGAAGAGGTGTAGGAGGGCGGTGCAGTCCTTGCCCCCGTTGAAGCCCACGCAGAGCTGGGGGAGGCTGTACCGAGCCAGGGCGGTCTCAATGGTCCTCAGGGCGCCTGCCACCTTTTCCCCCAGAGAAGACCCTGCCGGGCAGGCAGGGAAGAGGCCATCAGAGAGACACAGGTGGCCATCCCAGGGCAGTGGGGGCCACGATGCCCTTGCTTAAAACCCTTCAGGATCCTCCCAGTGTCCCTAGGATAAAGTCCAGGTTCCTTCATGCCACCCGGCAGGCCTGCAGACTCTACTCCCTGCCTGCCATTCAGCCAAACCTCATCTCAGTGTCTTCCCCTCTGGGGAGCCGTCTCCTAAACCTCCTGCCGCTTCCTTCCAGGCCCCCTCTCATACTGTGTGCTGTTGCCCCACTCCTGGTCTGGCCAAATCCTCCTTGTCACTCAGCGTAATTGTCACCTGCCCAGAGAAGCCTTCTCTGACCCCAGATCCAGGCCCATCTCCCCTCACCACTGACATCTCATGCACAATGACCTGTTTAACGTCTACCTTTCCTGTTCAAGCACTGGTCCCTGGAGTAGGGCACCTCTGTCCTGTTGAGCTACCCCTCAAACCCCAGCACAGTGCTGGTAAAAGTGGGTACACACTCAGCATCTATTGAGAGAATGAATGAAATCCACTGTAGCTATTCTCTACTTCTCCTGGATTTGTGGGAAGCCTCCACAGCCCCTGCATTCCTGAGACCTGCGGTGCCCCTCCCCTCAGAGGCCCCTACCTGACTCTGCGAGTGTGTATACGGCCTCACTGGCTTGCTCCACGGTGTTGGGTTTGTAGGGGACCAGCGATCCCTGGGGAAGATGGGCAGTCAGGTAGGCCAGGCATTCCTCCACGGGCGCTTCCTCTTCGGAGTCCAGTGTCACCTTCACCTTGTAGTAGTTGCTGCCCCAGTCAGGGTAGGAGCCCAGGCTCAGCCTGCGTCCAAAGTGGGCCTGGGCCTCGGCCAGGATGGGGGCGATAGAGGCCTCATCAGCTGCCACATACAGCTCCCGCAAGTGGAACTGCACGGCTGTGTTTAAGAACAGTCCCTTCAGTCCCTCCAGGACCCGCCGCAGCAGCTCTGGAATGCCTGGGAAGAGGTAGACATTGCGGACCGAGACCAGGGGGTACCTGAAGGGTTGGCCAGTGCGAGGATCTGTGCCGTAATGCAGGCGGGCAGAGGAGGGCACCAGCGCCAGCTTCTCCCAGCCCTCCCTTCCTAGGGCTTTGATGGCTGCTTCCAGCTCAGGGTGTGGCTTGAGCTCATCCCCAAAGGCCTGTGCTACTGCCTCAAAGGTCACGTCATCATGAGTGGGACCGATGCCCCCTGCCATGAGGACATGGGTGAAGCAGCTGGAAAAAGAGGAGATCTCAGCCGCAATGGTGGCTACCTCATCGGGTACAACAGAGACTCGACACACCTGGACCCCCAGGGAGCGCAGTGTCCGGCACAGGAAGTACGTGTTGGTGTCCTGCGTGTGTCCCTGGGAGATTGGAGACGGGGAAGATGAGAGGGTCAGTGCTGTGGGATGAAGGGCAAAGGCGGCAGGGGTGAAGGTGGCATCTGCCTGATCATGGGCCACTCTGCTCTCTGGGGGACACCATCTCAGGCTGCCAAGAAGGCTGGACTGGGCACAAGGGTGGGAAGGTTCATGTGAATGGAGTGGGGGTGATGTCCTACTTCTTGGGCCTCCTTCTCTGCACTGTGGCCTTGACCGCATCTACACTTATGGATTCCATGATCAGTTCTATGTAGACAACGCCTCCATTTCTTTACCAACCCCGACAGTCTCAGTCCCCTCGCTCCAAGTGTTTATTGGGCATCTTCACCCCATCTTGGGCTGTTGTCCCTTTGGTCAGTGGCATCTCCAGACACCGTCCACAGCCAGTCAGGCCCTTCATGCTGTCGGCTGTATTTCTGAAGTGTCTCTCCGTCTGCCCTCTTCACTTGATCCCTGCTGCCACCAAGCAGGTCCTTGGCACCTTTTACCTGGGCAGTTGCGACAGCCCCCTGGCCAGGCTCCCAGCCTCTGGGCACAGCGCTCTGCCTGGTGCCTCCTGAATATCACTGTGATTGCATCACTCTTGGGCTCAAAAGCCATTTGTTGTTTCCAACCGTATACAGAATAAAGTTCACACTCTTTTGCAGAATATTTCAGGTTGTCTGTTTATGGCAGCCCCATCTCCTTCTGCTGCTCCACAGAGTGTTTAGTGGTGAAGGGGTACTCTGAAGTAAGTATCAGGTTGGAAGCCCATCTACCACTTCCTTGCTGTGTTACCTTAGGCAAGTTTCTCAAACTCTCTGAACCTCAGCCTCATAACCTATTAAGATTTATAATAAAAGTACCAACGTCATAGGGTTGTTGTGAGGTCACATATGTGATGTGAGAAACCCACTGCCAGGCCCTAGTAAGCACTCAAAACATAGCAGCCAATATTGCCATTACAAACATGATGCCTACCATGACTTCTAGTTAGACCTCCCAGATTCTTCAGAAGGGATTTCTCCCTTCTAGTACTTTCCTTCTATCTCACATATCCACTCTTCCAAATCGGTTAGATTTAACTCTTAAATAACACCTGCACCTGTACCTCATTTACATGCTGAACTACCGGTCCCCTGTTAAGCCCCTCCCCCACACTTCATGGCAAATTGTAGGGATTTCCCTATAAGTTTTTCAACTGAGTAATTGGAAGGCTGTGGGTCACTTTTCCTGAACTATATTGGACTCGCTCCAGGAACCTACTGCAGCAAGGGGGGGGGGGAGCGCGGGGGGGAGCACCCTATTCATCCTCCCTCAACAGAATATGAAGCAGGCACTTTAAGGACGGGAGAACCCGCCCCTCCCCCCTTCTGTCCCAGACCCACCTTGAGGATCTCATCTCCAACAATGATGATGCCTGCTGTCACGCTGCGCCCTGGGGGAGGTTCAGAGGCCCTAGATGCCATGGTCCTGCCTTCTTTACCCCTCTGCAAGGCCCTCCAGTAGCCACCCAGACCCCCAAATAGGGGTCGCAAGTACCGGAGTCCCGCCAGGTCTAAAGGGCACTGGGGGCCACAGCATGGGTACAGGGGGTCCGGGGTCGAGGGAACCTGGAGGAGCCAGAAAGGACAATGGGGGAGAGCAGGAGTGCATGGTCTTCCTCACCAGGCCCTTGATAAGCGACTTCTTTTTCCCTGCCTCTTTAATAAACGTGCTCTCAAACCTCAGCCCATGCCTCTTTAAATGTCTTCTAAGCTTGGCTCTAGTCTCCTTAAAATGTCCTGCTGTCCCGAGAACCTACCACAGGCCTTCTGTCTGCCGAGCTCGGCTCCTCGGGTCTGCTCTATTTTGGGCATCTGCACCTTTAAGTGTCTCTTCTCTTTGGGGCACCTGTCCCTTTAAATGTCTACATGCTCCTGGGCCCTGGCCCCTTTAAATGCGTGCCCTCCCGCCACCCCGACCAGAACTCAGCCGCTTTCTTCTGCAGGCTTCCGCACCCTTTCTAGCCCGGAATCCTGTCTCTCCCCACTTCGCTACAGACTACTGAGCTCTCTCAGGTTCTCACCTGCTTCTGGCCCCGTTCACCAGTTCTTTCCCTCTCCTTTCCTCCTGTCCTAGGGCAGCTTCCGTACTCAGAGTCCCGCCTTAGACCCACACCTACCTCATAGTAATTGGTCATTTTGGCTGTCGTTCAGACTACCTCCACGGGTCCATTGGTGAAGTCGACTGTCACTCGCGAGCCTTAGCCAGAGGGCGGGAGCAATGCTGGGTTGTTATTGGCGACAACCACGTGGTCACCTTTAATCCGGAAATATGGGGGCCGGGCCCTAGCCGGGGGCGGGGTTTTCTCCCGGGCTGGACCTGGGCGGGGCTGGGCGGGGGAAGGGGGCGCGAAAAGAGCGGTGGTTGGAGGCGCTCTAAGGATTTTGAGGTACTCCCTTCTGTTGTTGGAAGTAAAGGGAGGCTTGATTCTAACCTTCTGGGTTCACATTCTTGTGTGCATGGCTATCAGTTTTCTTTAACCACGACTCTAATTCTAGGCTAAGGGATCAGGGGCTGCTACGGGTGTCGGAAGGGATTTTACATTGTAGCATACGGAAGTTTGAGGGATACCAAGAATAATTGTCAGCATTGCCTGTGCGGTAGGAAGATCGTACACGTGAGCTTTGAGTGTGTGCAACTTTTATTTGTGTTATAAATGATAAAGCGAATTACCTCAACCTCTTTGATAAGGAAATCTTGCCCCACCTTGCACCACTGTTGTGCTTTGTTTAAACATTACCTCTCCCAGTTATGGGTCTGACAGGTACAAGGGAGGGCAGCGACTAGGGAGTACCCTGTGTCCACTTTGGACTCGAACTCACTCTCATTTCAGTTGCCTTTGGTCTAAAAGTGCTTCTTAAACCTTCATCCTCATCATCTGGGGACCTCGAGTGGGGCCTGAAATCTGCATTTAACAAGCTCTGGTGTCATGCTGATACCACAAGTCTGTGGATTATGTTTTCTGTAGTAAAGGTCTAAAACCCAGTCATCTGGAGGAGGGCTGAACCATGCCCGGCCCCAGTTTATTGTCCTAAAAACCTAAGATAAATACGATGCCCAGATGGGCAACAGGCTCAGAAAGGTGAGAGATGCCACACAACCACCACAAAACACTAAAGTGAATGGCAGAGCCAGGCTTCTAGACCATTTTTTCTCAAGTAATAAGCCCTGTATTTTTTCCAATTAAAAGAACCTCTAAAAAAAATAATAAAAAGCCCCGGTTGCCTAATGACATAAGCCATGTGTTCCATTATCTTTATTAGTAATAATGGTGATATTTGACACCCCCCAAAAGGAACCCTAGAACATCAGCTCTGGTCAAATCCTTAGGTGGTTTCTCAAGCTCAGGTGGTTTCTCAACCAGGACCACCTGGAGAGCGTTAAAATGTCTCAAGCTTAAGGAGCACCAGGACCACCTGGAGAACGTTAAAATGTCTGCTGGGCCTTGCCCTCAGACTTTTGATACAGTAGGCCTAGGGTGGAGTCCAAGAATGTGCATTTCTAACTAGTCCAGGGACCACACTGAAGAACTCCTACTTTTAGAATAAATGGATGGAAGACAGGGAAAAGGGGGTAGGTTAATCTCCCTTACTTAGTATTACTGTTATTTTTCAAAGTAGAGGGTAAGCTGTGATTTGGTGAAATCATTTTTTTAAAGAAGATACTTGTTTTTATTTTAATTTTTATTTTATTGGGGAGCTGTGTGTGTTTCCAGGACCCATCAGCTCCAAGTCAAATAGTTGTTTCAATCTAGTTGTGGAGGGCACATCTCAGTGGCTCATGTGGAGCTCGAACTGGCAACCTTGGTGTTATGAGCACTGTGGCGCTATCCACCTGAGCCAACCAGCCGCCTCTGGGGAAATGTTTTCTTTTTTTATTTAAAGATTTTATTGGGGAATTGGGGGAGGGGAACAGACAAGTTGCGGTCCTTTTGTTCTTCAGTCTAGTTGTGGAGAACATCACTTCACTGGCCCATGTTGGTGTTACCATTGCGCTCTTCCAGGATGAGGCAGATTGGTCGCTGGCCATTGGACAGCTGCTCAGGGCAGCTCGTGGAAGTGCACGCCAGCTGCCGGCCAGCTTCACTGCAGCCTATGCCGTCGCCAGCGACTCAGACCATCTTAGCTGTAGAGGGTGCAGCGTTACTGGCATGCGTGTGGGATCCGAACCGGGGCCCTGCGGCTCAGAGCTCCCAAGCAAACTCCTAACCAATGCGCCACTCGGCCGGCCTGGGAAATGTTTTCTTAAACAGCTAAATTTGCACCTGTTTTCTCCAAGGTTTGTGCTGTAACTACCTGCCATTGAATGCTAGAACTCCCCACATCCAGGCCATGCCCCAGATCGACTTGAGTCAACACCTCTAGGAATGATTTAAGCATCAGTACTTTTTTTTTTTTTTTAGCTGAGCCATCCTGCCACCTGTTGGCAGATCAATGGCTGCTCAGCTCGGGCCAGGACTCGAACCGCCGTTGCTCAGAGCTCAAACTCTTGAGGGAGCTCTTAACCAACTGAGCCACTCAGCGGCCCCTAAGCATCAGTACTTTTAAAGCTACCCAGGTGATTCCAGTGCTCAGCCAACGTGGGGACCACTGGAAACAGTCCCCAACCAGTGTGCACAGGGAACAGGCCATAGGTGTGCCTGAGCCTTAGGCAGGGCAGGAAGTGGGTGCACTCTCTGGCGCTAGCCTCCTCCGTTCACCGTGTGTTCTCCAAATATTGGGACTATGTTACAGGCAGCACCGCTGACTGAGGAACAGTTCATTTGTTTTGATGAGATGTTTTCCTTATATAACCTCTATCTTTGGCCAGTAGTTAGATGGAAATATATTTTGGTAGATGTTTGACAGCAAGTCTGCTTTTCAGATTAGATTAAAAACCAGTTACCCAAATGCTGAAATAAACGTCATTATCAGCAAAGAGCAGAGCTTCATTACCTAACTGAAGGGGATATTAGAACCGCGATATTGAATGTGATGCTTACCCTGAGAGGGGTAAAAACCTTTACAAGTAGAGAATTAGATTATAAAAACTTCCTCTTTAATCAGGCTATTAACATGAAACAGATTTCTTGAATAAAATGGAAAGTTTCCAACACATTGAAACATAAATCACCATACACAAAACACCTGGCAGGAAAAAAACAAAACAGCAAGTTTCCACAGTCCCTGTAACAGCCATGGTCGTGTTAGGTGCTTCCTCCATCTGCCAGGTGTGATCTGCTAGACACAGAGCTCACCGTGGTTTCTGGGGTCACACTCAGCCGAAGCTGCAGCCCCAAAAGCCTTGGTCTGGCTGGGCTGTGTGCTGCTGGCTCTGAAGAAGCAAAGCAGCCACCCGCACATCCAAACAGTGTATTTGAAACATCCTTTAAATATCAAAGTGAGAAACAAGAAGGCAACATAATTTTATCAGAAAGATGTTAGCAAATGAGGACTGCTGTGTGAAGCTTGAGGCTGCAAAGCGGTTCTCCAGCTTCATTTCTTTGGCTTCTTGGGCAGCGGCCGCCGAAACAGCAAGATGTGAGGTTCTGAAAGAGGGAGTGAAATCTAAGAGACAAGCTCACACCGTTTTGTGCACAACCTATAGGGCACCCCATTCCCATTTCCCAGCTATCGCCCGCTCAGATCTCTATAACTCAGTTAAGATGTAAGCATATGGCCTTCGAAGCAGACCGATAGCCTGGCCTGTCTACCAAGGACAGAATTGTTATATCAGTTCTTTTGCTATGCTTGTACAGCCCCGGGGTGTCCTTTATTAGTTTTGCCTGGCAGCTTGGTGTCTGGTGCCTTACCAAGAAATATACTTCCCTTGGCTTCTTTGGAACACATCCAAGAATTCTCTTTCTGATGGAGAATGAAGAGCCATAACCTCTACCAGGGTATATGTGGCCTTAAAAATAAAGGTACCTTTTGACTGAATTAGATATTTAAGGAGGTTTTTCATTGACAGGTTGTCGCTGAACTTCCCAGATACTTTACTCTTATTCTTATTTTTGGTCGCTCCAGTTTTTCTAGATGGCTGGTGGGGTGAGAAACCAGTAAACCACCCCCACCTTCCCCTTATTTCTTTGGGAGCTATTATTCTGAAGCAGCCCCAATGGTTCTTTTTTTTTTCTCCTTACATTTTTTTATTGGGGAACAGCCATGGTCATTGGTCACACACTGCTTTCATGCTATTGTACAATGGCATAGTTGACTCTTTTAGGGAGGGTGCAGCTCACAGTGGCCCATGAGGGGATCGAACCTGCAACCTTGGTGTTATCAGCACTACGCTCTAACCAACTGAGCTAACCGGTCACGCCCCACCCCCCAATGGTTCTTTCAGCCATTGCACTGACCTGGTTCATGGATCATATAATGGACCCATCCCTGACTCTGCTGAACACCAAGATTCCTCCATTCAGATTCAGACATCAAATGGGTTTTAGGGACCAGCTTGGCTATGTCCTTGGGCAACATGACATGCCTGTAACAGAAACACGGGAGGGTGGGGGAATTCGTGTCAGTACTGGGTACAGTCTGTTAGGCAAGTACCTGCATACAAAGCCAAGAGAGGAAAGAACAGAGAAACTGGTTTCTGATGGCTGGGAGTTCCTATCGTCTTATTGTGGGGGGTAGAGGCAGCTAAAAATAAAGGCCGAGTTACGTAGATCCTCACAGAAGCATATCAAAAAGTACAAATTCATGAATGAATGCAAGCGAATAAGCACCCCCAGTCCAGGCACTGTTGATCCACTGCCTCTGCCTTCTGGGGGCTTAGTCTTCTAGTCGATTACCCTAAAACAATAAAATGGGGGCCCCACAGCACACAGTGCTGCTAATTAAAGGTGGTTTTGAACAGAATTGGTGAGGAAGGGAGAGAAGTGATTTTGTGGAGCTGAAAGGCCTATGACGAGTGCTGTGTGGAGGAGCCATCACACAGGATGAAACGTCAATGTCTTATCCTTTAAAATCTATCCTCAACCTCGTTTTCCTGACTCTGAAGGGATGTGCCATGAGACTTCTTTTAGGAAACTTCATGCTTTCCTAGCCAAGGATAAGTCTCCTTTCAAGGCAAAGGAATGATTACTGTGATTTGATTTGGGCTAACCCAGGTCGACTTCACCATGCTCAGTGAAATGTACTAACTGCTCTCTCTGTGCTAGTAACAGATTTTTTTTTATCCCAAAGAGATAATATAATTCTAGTCTGTCTGAAAATAGCTTACATTCTAACAAGCCCCTGGCTCAAAGACTGGCTTCAATACCTAAGTAGGCAAAAAAACAAACAAACCCCACAACAGACACACCCCCCCGCCCCAAACAAAACAAAACAAAACAAAAACACACACAAAAACTAAAAGCCTTTCCTAAACCAAAATACCACTGCTAAGCTTTACATCTTCCAGGGGATGACACTACTGACTTCTCCCTAGCCCTGCAAAGTGTTACAAGCACATAATTTTGGGAAGCTTAGTTCAGATGTAGAGGAAAACAGCTGAGGAGAAGAAAGTTAATTGTGTCAAGCAAGGGCCTGGGGTCTTTTCCTTCCATCAAGGCATAAAGATGGTTAATGTACTGTATTTGTCAGCATACACTGAGCTCTCCAAAGGAGCCAGAGCCCCGCACTAGGCTGGAGAAGGAATACAAACAAATTTCCTTTTTATGTTCTTCAGTTGAGAAGACAAGATACAAACTAGGAAGTTGTTTAAAGTATTACACTTAAAATGGATAAGTGGGACGCCAATATTTTTAGAACCCTTTGTCACCCATACTTCTCCAATTTAGAGTTATAAATTCCGGTTTTCTTAAATGCAAACTCTGTGGGGATTCCTTTGTTCACCAGCCTGGGCAAGCTCTGTGTGCTTCCCTCACAACCTGTACAAGTCACCTTTCTGAAATCAGTATTTCCACCGATTTTTTTAGGTTTGGCTTATCTTTGCACGTTAACACCTGAAACCTGTAAGTACTCCATTATAGCTTCCTAAATAGACCCACTTCAGCTATTTGAAGGGTATCGATTAGGTCCATGTCAAGTCTTTTCTCAATGTTCCTGGCCAGTTTTATGCCACTCCGTTCCTCGACGTCCCCTTCCCACAACCACGCCCCTTTTCCATGAATTAATAAGCAACACTCAGGCTTTCATAATTCCGTTACACTGAAGACGCGGGGAAAAGTCGAGCTCCGCCTTTGCTACCTTTTCCCAGTAGGCTCTAGGATTCTACGGTGTGGCCGTAATACAAGCAGTCTCAAGCAGGCAAGTTCAATTCGCTCAGTGAAGTTGAGAATGATCCAGGAACCCCTAGGGTGAAGGTGGTCAGCCCTAGCACTCTGACCACGCCCACCTCCGCCTCCCCCGAGCGCGCTCAACTCCAAATTCGCTCCCACTGTTTCTTTGATGGCCGCCTCCTACCCTGCGTGCTCACGCTTTACGCTCTCAACTATCTCACGCCCGTGTCCCGTTAACCTGCTGCGCATGCGCTGATTCTGTCGCTTCAGTCCTGGTGACTAATTCCTCGTGCCCTCACTTGTCAAACTCACAACCTCGTTATGACCCCCGCGCCGGCACTAACCGATACTCGAACTCCTCGTCGTCGTATTTGTCCGAATAGTAAATTTGTTTGTGCGACATGATCGCTCTGCCAAAGGATCGTCAGCACCGCGCCGCCAACCTCCAAACAACTCCCAGCAGCACACGCTCCCACCCTCTTTGGCCTCACTTTCAAACACGCCGCCCGCGCTTCCTATTGGGCCCCTCGGCTTAAGGCGGGACGACTTCACCTTCGAGCATCCTATTGGCTTAGCTTTGCTTCTCGTAGAGTCCTTATTGGAGCACATTTCCCAAGAACGAGCTTAGGTAAAAAATTGGCCTCTTATTGGCTAGCAGTGCTCTGTGCGCGTTCTCGCACTGCCATTGGCTGATTCGGGAAAGTGGGCCGGGTGAAGGAGGGACTGTGAGGTAGAGGGTCAGGGGTTAGTGAGGCCGGAAGTGAGTACAATAAAGTTTCTCCAGGGAGGCCGGGCCCGGGGAGAAAGTTGGAGCAGCGACCTAAGGAGGCAGTGGCGTGATCCACAACCAAATCAGCCCGCGGTGCGGTGCAGCGACTCCATGAGGTCCTGGTGAGTTGGGACTTTTTTTTCTCCTTAGGTGACCCACTCTTCCACCCCGGAACCCCTCTCCCGGGACCCTACTTCCGGTCTTCATTTATAAGTCCCGCCCCCTGAGACCCCCTCCCCGGAAGTCCCACCTCCCAACTTAAGGGGCTCCCTGAACCCCGACTTGTACTTCTGTTTATTGTCCCTGACCCCACCCTGTCACCCAGCTTTCCTGGAAGTCCCACCCCCAGACATGCTTCCAAGCCCACTACGAGAAACCCCACGTTAGCCCTTCCAGTTCTCCGAAACTCCGCCTCAGCGCGACGACTCTCCGCTAACTCCCGTCTATCTAAAAGCCTATCTCCCAAAAGGGCAAAGCCCTGCCCCTCAAATAACTACAGTATTCGAATTCGTGAAGCCACGCCTCCCAAGGGGCTCCGCCCCTCTAGAAGCCCCGCCCGTTCCTTAATCCACGTCTGATTGTCCAGAAGCCTCGCCTCCTGGAAGTGGACGATGCTCGCGTCCTCGGGGGCCACGCCCCCTCGGGAGATTTATCCCTGTGGGACCCAGGGCTTCACTTCAGAAGCTTTGTCAGAAACTCCACTTGCTTGCGTTTGCCTGGCGTTTTTTTCTCTGGGGCCTTAGGCCCAGTTTCCCTGAGCTGGCATGCTCCGTCGGGTGGGAAGTCAAAGTTCCCATCTCTGGCTCCGAGTGAGATTAGGAGCAGCCCCTTCCAAGGGTGGACCTTCTTGAAGGGGGCTGGACTTGGGGTTTGGCACGAGGGTGGGAGAGACGCTTGCTCATAGATTCCTAGCCCCATTCCCTGAGTTTCCCTTCCCAGAACTGACCCATCCCAGAAACAGCTGTTACGTTTTATACCTGTACCACGCACGGGATTTGGGTAGGGCCATTTATTTGTTGTGTGACAGGAGCGAAAGTTTCCTACCACCAGAATAGGGTGTCTTGGAGTGGCTGTAGGGGACAGTGACCTTTTTGCTGTTTGGGTTTTTTTGGTTTTTTTTTTTAAGGGGCTGCTGAGCCCCCACCACTTCGGGCCCTTCCCCTTCCCCTAACCAGCGTTCTTGTCTGGGCATTCCTCTGGTCCTGCTTGCCCAGCCTTCCCTTCTGGAAACATTCCTGAGGCTTTCGCCATTTCCTGCTGCTTCCCGCCGCTCTTGTCTCCTCCCTGCTGGGCTGAGAAGGCACAGGCAGCTTCTCCTCCACACCCAATCACCCAGGCTTCCAATAGGCAATCTCATTCCTATGCAGATTTAAAGAGCTCTACTTCCTCTTTCTTTTCTTCCAAATGCCCACACCTGTTGGTCATTCCCTGCCTCTGGGCCCTGCGGGCTCCTACGGAACTCCCGTCTCTAAAGATGAAGACATCCTGGTGTGTGTTTGCGTGTGCCGGGGGCGGGTGTGAGGTTATGGCCGAATCCTTTTCCTCATGCTTCTATCTATGCCAGAGCGCTGAGCTTTAAGAAATGGAGTGTTAGAATTTCTTTTCAGGAGCGGTGGAACGACAGAGCTCTCCTCTGATGAGGACTAAGGGGAGGTGAAAGAGCTTAGCGACAGTATCTAACACATTTTAAGTGCTAGTATTGTTAATCACTATAATCATACGATTATTTGCATCTTTTTATCTTCTGAAGTGATTTAAGGATAGGTGAGCCTGCAAGGGGGGGGGGCGGGGGGATGGGGATACAGGTATCTTCTTTTCTGGTCACTTTCCAACTTCCTCTATGGCCCCCTCAAGCAGAGTTGTGGCAGGAAGCTTGGGTGGAAGGAATGGGTTTGGGGCCGGTGCCCTGTGTCCAGCCTCAGTCCATCTTCTGGCACCTCTTTCTCTAGCATTTAGCACAGATTTAGCTTCTGCCCCCTTCTCCCTTCGTCATCTGTAGCCCTCACTTCTCTTAGAGAGCTGTTTCACTCTCCCACCTCCTCCAGCCAAGCTTTGCCCATGGCGTGAGGGACACTGTGCTCCCTGATGGACATATAGACCCTCCTCTGTCACCACCGCAAAAGGAGGGGATGGCATACCTGGCAGGTGCAGGGAGCTGACCTTCGTGTCAGCGTCCTGCTCCCCCTTCTACCCTTGGACAGCTGGCTTTGCTAACGGGGACGGGGTTGCCAGAGAGTGCTTGGCGGTGGCCGGCGCTCCTTGGCCTGATAGGTGCCACGCACAGAGAACAAGGCTCCAGCAGCCTGCCCTCCGCTCCAGCCCTTTGCCCTGCTGCACCACCCAGGGTGGACTTGATTCCCTTTACCTCCCCAGCTGTGCCCTTCCTCTTGGCCCCTCTGCACCCCCTGGGACCACTTCCTTCTTTCCCCATCTCTTGAGCTCCGGTCCACAACTGTTGTAGCAGATGATGCTAATGGCTCAGGCTCCCTGGGGCCGCCACCCCACTGTAGGGTAGTGGTCGGGGGCGGCCTGGGCTGGAGACGGGGGACTTCTGAGTGTTCAAGCAGGACAGGAAGGGAAATGCTGAGCCCAGGGGTCCCCTCCCTTTCCCACCCCCAGCTGCCTCTGTTTCCTCCCTCACTCCCCACCACCCTCCCACAGCTTCCTGCTCCCTTCGGTCTGCCCATGTCCGGTTTGGATTGATCCAGACCTACTCTTATCCCCCGCCTTTCCTTCTCACTCCTCCGTCCTCTCCGCCCACCCCCACTTTACTCCTCCCCAGATTACTAGTTGTTTGTATGGGGGAGGTGGAGGGGGGGGCTCATCCCTGGAGCCTGTGAGTCAGCACTGCCCTCAGGATTGGTCTCTCGCCTTGGCTCCCCGCCCCCGGGGAGGAGCCAGGCAGCTCCAGGTCCAGCCCATTCTTCCCTCAGCCCGAGGAGACGCTCCACGCTGGGCGGGGATGGGGCTGGAAACGGTCTGGGTCTGAGCTGGAGGAGGTGGAGAATCCGGAGCCACTGGTCCCTCTCCTTCCCCAGGACCCCTGAGAGCCCTGGGCCATAGCGGGCCGATCGTGCCCAGGGCCTGGGGATGCCCCTGCCCGGCCCCCTTGCGCTGACCGGCAGGGGGGCCGGGCTGGGCAGCAGCCTCCCTCTCACGCCAGCCATGGACCGCCTGCCCCCCAAGCCCAAGTACAACCCACTTCGGAATGAGTCTCTGTCATCGCTGGAGGAGGGGGCCTCAGGGGCCACCCCACCGGAGGAGCTGCCTTCCCCATCAGCCTCGTCCCTGGGGCCCATCCTGCCCCCTCTGCCCGGGGACGATAGTCCCACCACCCTGTGCTCCTTCTTCCCCCGGATGAGCAACCTGAAGCTGGCCAGCCCGGCTGGGGGGCGCTCGGGGCCGAAGGGGGAGCCAGGCAGGGTGGCCGAGGATGGCGAGGGGATCGGAGGGGCGGCCGTGCCAGACCCAGGTCCCCTGCCCCTTCTCCAGGACATGAACAAGCTGAGTGGAGGCGGCGGGCGCAGGACTCGGGTGGAAGGGGGCCAGCTGGGGGGCGAGGAGTGGACCCGCCACGGGAGCTTTGTCAATAAGCCCACGCGGGGCTGGCTGCACCCCAACGACAAAGTCATGGGACCCGGGGTTTCCTACTTGGTTCGGGTGAGTGAGCATCCCCCACTCCTTCCCAGGCCCCTCCAGTTCCTCCGCCGGCTCTAGCTTTGTGGGAGCCCCCTGCGCTTCCCCAGCGACTCCCTTGGTGTCGGGGCCCTGTTTCCCCAACCTGCCTGGCTCCTCCAGTTCTGCAGCCCCTTCCCTCCCAGCTCTCCCTGGGCGCCCCCTTCCTTCTTGTGACTCGCCCCCCCCCCATGCTTAGCACATGCCCAGCCCATGGGGCGCCCTTAGTAAGTGTTGGAATGAGTGACTCTTGATTGTTCCCTCCAGTCTCCTCCCTGTGTCTAGAGATGTCACTTCATCCCCCCCAGCGCCTGTCACTCCACTCCAAATTCTCTTCCCAGATGCATCATGGCCTCCCAGCTCGCCCTGCCCCTCTCCCCTCATTCCGCACGGTCCTGTGTGTTGTGGGCTGTGGTAGAACCTCATCTCTACTGTCCTCAGGGGCACGTAGAGAAAAGTGCCTGGACCCTTTGGGCGGGGGTGGGGGCGGCAGCTGACTCCCCGCTTCCCCTCAGTACATGGGCTGTGTGGAGGTCCTGCAGTCGATGCGCGCCCTAGACTTCAACACCCGCACCCAGGTCACCAGGTCAGTGGGGGGCGCGGGGGAGCCCGGGGTGGGCCGCTTGGTGGTGGTGCTAGTGACGGCTTATCTGTGGGTGGTAAAGGGGACCGCGAGAAAGTTAAGGGAGCGAGCCTAAGTCTGAATGAAAAGAGGCAGCTCTGGCCGGGATCCTTCCTACTCATCCAGGCTTGGGAGTTGGGGGGGGGGGGTGGCCGAGGCAGCCGGCAGCTGGAGGTTGAGTAGAAAATGGGGGTAGATGGAAGGTTGCTGCTGCCTTTGGGAAGGGAATGGGACATTTGGTAGCTGGAGGGGGGTGGGGCCAGCCCATTGAGGCCCTAACCCAATCAGCCAGGAAGCGGCCTCTCAGTGTCATCAAATATTAAAGGCCCTTAATTCAATCCACCACGACAAAGAGCCTGGAGTGCCCCTGGAGTCTGGACTGGCCTCCCCCTCCCCCAGCCCTGTGGCAGCCCCAGCCGAGTGGGAGGCAGGCTCTGGGTCTGAGTACCCCTCTTTCCCCAGGGAGGCCATCAGTCTGGTGTGTGAGGCTGTGCCAGGTGCTAAGGGGGCAACGAGAAGGAGAAAGGTACCTGGGGTCGATGGGAGATGTGGAGGGGCTGGGCAAAGGCCAGTGTGGGGAGAAGGCCGAAAGGCAGGAGTGGGGGGTTTTGGGGTGTTGGGAGCCCCCAGCTTCTGAGACCCTTGGGCCCTTCCTTAGCCCTGTAGCCGCCCGCTCAGTTCCATTCTGGGGAGGAGTAACCTGAAATTTGCTGGGATGCCAATCACTCTCACCGTTTCCACCAGCAGCCTCAACCTCATGGCCGCAGACTGCAAACAGGTTGGTGGGCTGGGCAGGGAGACCAGAAACATTGGTGGGGGGTTAAGTGGAGACCTGACTGTGAGAGCGAGCATCTAGGAAAGGGCTTGGGTGCAGCAGAACAGTAGGGAAGGAGATTAGGAGGATGTGGGGTAAGAAGCCTTTAAAAGGATGAGACGGGGACTGTGGGGATTGGGCCGGGTGGGAGGCGCTCGGGTGAGCCTAAGGCTGCCTGACACAGGTCATTCCCTTCCTTCTCTGTCCCCTGCCCTGACCCTCAGATCATCGCCAATCACCACATGCAGTCTATCTCGTTTGCGTCCGGCGGGGACCCGGTGAGTTGGGGAGCAGAGCAAAAATAGCGGGAAAAGAGTAAGGGGAGGGTTGGGAAGACTGGCCCCCGGAACGGGCATGCTAGGATGGGGGCCATATCTGGAAAGCCCTGGGATTGAGCGGTGAGGCGTGAGCGAGGTGGGGCTGCCAGGTTTAGCTAACTGGCCTCTTCTGACTGCCCTCCCCAGGACACAGCCGAGTACGTTGCCTACGTGGCCAAAGACCCGGTGAATCAGAGAGGTGAGGTGTGGTGGGGCGGCTGTGGGGCCTGGAGCTGAGCGGGGGCTCCTGCTGAGGAGGATGGGGGGGCCTCTGTCTGCGCCTCCTCCCAGCAACCCAGCCTCAGAGCCCACCAGCAGCCTCTGCTGTGCCCCCAGCCTGCCACATCCTGGAGTGTCCCGAAGGGCTCGCTCAGGACGTCATCAGCACCATCGGCCAGGCCTTCGAGTTGCGCTTCAAACAGTACCTCAGGAACCCGCCCAAGCTGGTCGCCCCCCATGACAGGTGAGCGGGGAGCAGGCTTGGACCCCAGACCGGAACTGGGAAAGTAGGTCTGCTGTTCCCACGCTTGGGCTCAGAATGGTCCAGGGAAGGAAGTAACCTGTGTGCCCCTGCTCCCCACTTCCTGCGATTCTTACGTTTCCTGTGGCCATCGGGAAAGTCACTGGCAGCCCTGCCTGCTGTAGGGCCAGCTCTTCCCTGTTTGCCGACGGTAGCCCAGCCCTGGCCAGAGCTGCTTTTCATTCCCAGCTGCCTCGTGTCCGGCCGGTCCCTCTTTCTTGCTCGTTTCTCCATCCTCAGGTCTTTGTTTTCCTGCCCGTAGGAGCCATCTAGAGTTTGAGTGGGGGATGATGGCTCTTTCCTGAGACCCCACCTTTCCTCGGGCCGGAGACATTGAGTATTCAGAGGAGGTTACGGTGTTCTGGACCGCCTCCCCGCCCACACACACACAGCGTCATGGTCAAGGGCAAGGACTTCACAATCACACCTGAATTTACATCTCAGCTGCACCACCTTCCCCTGTGAGACCTCGGGCCAGTCTTTCCATCTCTGACGGTCATTCTCCTGATCTGTAACACTGGGGAAGGAAATAACACCTACCTCGCAGGGTTGCCAGGAGGATGAAGCTGTTACGTGTGTAACAGCCCCGGCCTCTGGCCTGTCCCGCAGGAAACCCCAGTACACGCCAACCACTGTTCCGTTGCCCTCCGTCTGTCCTCCCACCCACACGCCTCACCCCCTGTCCCTCGCAGGATGGCTGGCTTTGATGGCTCAGCTTGGGATGAGGAAGAGGAAGAACCACCTGACCATCAGTACTACAATGACTTCCCGGGCAAGGAACCCCCTCTTGGGGGGGTGGTAGACATGAGGCTTCGGGAAGGCGCCCCCGCGGGGGCTGCTCGACCCACTCCGCCCAGTGCCCAGACCCCCAGCCACCTGGGAGCTACGCTGGTAAGTTGCTTGGATAGAGGTGGGCTGGGTCCGGGGTAGGAGGGGCTGGAGAGGGCCTCTGGTCTCATGCTACTTTTCTCCCTTCAGCCTGTGGGGCAGCCTGTTGGGGGAGACCCAGAAGTCCGCAAGCAGATGCCACCTCCGTCCTGCCCAGGTAGGGAGGGGGCTGAGAGGGACAGAGCCAGGGGTGCAGGAGGCAGGGCTGGGGTCACTGGAAAGCCTCCCTTTTCTCAGCAGGCAGAGAGCTCTTCGATGACCCCTCCTATGTCAATGTCCAGAACTTGGACAAGGCCCGGCAAGCAGGGGGTGGGGCTGGGCCCCCCAACCCTGCCGTCAATGGGAGTGCGCCCCGAGACCTCTTTGACATGAGTGAGTGCTCCTCTCGCTCCTGCATCGGTCTTCACCCTTGGTTCCTCCCCTCCTCTGGCCTGTCTGCTCTTTCCTTCCCGGTCTCCCCGCCCTGGAGGTTCTGGGTCCTGGGCACATGTTGTGCCATCCGCCTGTCCTAGCCCTGTCTCCGTACCCCCAGAGCCCTTCGAAGATGCCCTTCGGGTGCCTCCCCCTCCCCATTCGGTGGCCATGGCCGAGCAGCTCCGGGGGGAGCCCTGGTTCCACGGCAAGCTGAGCCGCCGGGAGGCCGAGGCGCTGCTGCAGCTCAACGGGGACTTCCTGGTGCGGGAAAGCACCACCACGCCTGGCCAGTACGTGCTCACGGGCCTGCAGAGTGGGCAGCCCAAGCACCTGCTGCTGGTGGACCCTGAGGGCGTGGTGAGTGGCAGCAGAGTGGGGGGAGGCACAAGGGGAAGCGCGGTGCCCTCCCGCGCAGCCTGACCCCTCACTGCTCTCTACTTTCACGGCTGGGCACCTCTACATCTTAAGGTGCGTGGCATCCCCCGTTAAATGGCTTAGGGTTCCCTCCCTTCTCACGTCCCTGAGCCTGAGCTGTGTTCCCACCAGTCCTGGCCAGCCCTTAAATCCCCAAACGTTATGCTCAGAAGAGGCATCTCACCTGAGCCCCCCTTTTGACAAATGAGGAAACCATTGTGGAGAGGCTGTGATACTCAACGTCAGATGGCTACAGGCTAGACACCCCAAGTCTCTCCTCTTGTTAGAGGAGCCAGGGGCTCCCCACTCCTGCAGACTCAGGGCTCGGCCCAGTGCCCCTCATAACTCGGCTCTCTCTTCCCCAGAAGCCTCAGCCTCCTTTCCACATCCATTTTGTACTGTGTACCCTCCCCTGAGACTTGCTACCTTCCTCCAGGTCGGGAGGAGTAGCTGCCCTCGGCTTCACAGCTCCTGACGTCCCCTCTGCCTTTTCCCAGTCACTGGCCTGCACGTTCCCGTGGCAGCCTCCAGCTCTTTCTAGAGACGCCTCAGGGACCAGGACTGACAGCCCTCCCACCTCTGCCATCTTTTCCTCCTTCCTCAACGCTCTTGACCCTTCAGCTTCCTCGGCCTTGGGGGCTGAGGTGTTATTTAGCTCTTCACCTGAATCGACCCCGTTCCCTTCCCACTGCCCAGGTTCGGACAAAGGATCACCGCTTTGAGAGCGTCAGTCACCTCATCAGCTACCACATGGACAATCACTTGCCCATCATCTCTGCAGGCAGCGAACTGTGTCTACAGCAACCCGTGGAGCGGAAACTGTGACCCGTCCCAGGTGCTTTCCAGAAGATGTCCTTCAATCCTTCCACTATTTCCTGACTGTCAGGACCTCACTTAGGAGCGTGCTGTGGGCCTGGCCTGTGTAGCGGCTGGGGGAGTGTGGACACTGGGCTCCGTCAGCATCCAGCTGAGGGAGAGGGTTTGAGTCAGGAGCCTGGGGGAGAATCCTGCTTCTCCCCAAACCTCACCAAAGTGTTAACGTAGAGCGGCCCCTTCCCAGGGCCTTTCCTGTGCCAACCTGATACCCCCTTCCCCGAGAAGGTGGGTGCTCGAGGCCTGGGCCGTGTGCCTCGTAATAGAAAATGTCCTGTGGTGACAGGAGTCGGTCACCCAGGGAAGGGAGAATAAATCACACCTTCGGTCTACCCTGGGCTCAGGGGACCCCAGGCCCCTCTCGACAACCCTCCCTCCCAGTGTTTAAACGTCGTGCCTTTGACCATCTCCTGGGTCTGAAGATATTTTATGCAAAGAGTTCTGGGCCCTTGAGGTCAAGGACGGGGGTGTTGGCCCCTTGGCTTCTGGGACCCTGCCCTCTCGTTGCTCAGCAGCACCTCCTCCAGTTTAGGTTGGGAGAACAGGGGCAGGGGTGGCAGCTGTCCCCTCTCTCTGGGCATATGCCACCCAGAGGTTGCCTCAGAGCCCCCCTCCCGGCCAGGGGGGAGATGAACCCCTTCTTAGTGCCTCCTGGCCGGGGGCCCCTGACCCCAGGGGTCTGTATATACATTTCTACACCCCTCCCCTCCCATGTCACATGCATGTTATATTCTACAGCCAAAGTGAAGCCCTTCCTCCCGCGTCCTGCGCCCTGCCTGCCCCCGCTGGGGTGCGGGGGGCATGACTGAATCTGGGTCTCCGGACTGTTAGCGCTCCCGGGTGGATTCTGTGGAGGCTGGAACGGGGCACTGAGACTAAAGCAGTAGACAATCTCCACATACCATCTGTAGATTTGGAAGTGCATTTATTTTTTATTTTATATGCATCTATTTTAGGGCTGTAGAGTTTTCGTAATTTGTTTTCCATGGCTTATTGAGCACAAAATGATGGTAACTGATTACATTTATACTTCGCCTCTTTTGACTTTTCAAAGCCCTTTTACGACTATTGGCATTTTTCTCACCCCAGCCTGTGAGGCAGTTGGGGCCGGCAGCGTTATGTTTTCTAAGACAGACCCAAGGCAGAGAAGTCGATTGTGAACGAGGACCAGAAACACCGACGACGCGAGGCCGGGAGGCGGAAGTGTGTCTGGGAAGCTTAAAACCCCGCAGTGACTGCATACCTTCCACAGCCGGCCCGCCGCCGCGGAGAAGCTGGCCCCGCCATCCCCTAGGCCTGCTGGCGAAGGGACCGTTGACCGTCCTCGCCGCCTCATTTTTGTTGTTTGGGTGTTCTCACGGGTCTTACTTATACCAAAGGGAAAAAAGATTAAAAGTCCGTATTTCTTCTACCTCGGCCTCTTAGTTCTTGTCGCTGCCTATTGTTCACCGTGGGCCCTCCGCGGCGGGACCCAGCCGGCCTCGCTCGGGCCGGGCTCGAGCCGGCGACAGCTCGCGACCACGGGGGGGGGGGGGGGGGGGGTGGCCCAGCGGCGCCTGCGGGACCGCCGTCTGGGGGCGAGGCTCGCGTCGGCAGAGGGGACCCCGATCGCGAGCGGCCCCGCGATGCCAGCCTCGGGGTGGCCCGGCCTCCAGGGCGCGCACGCACGCCCCTCGGCCCGGGATGGTACGGTCCGGCCCGGAGGCAGCCTGCCGCCGCCCGCCCGGAGGAGCGGGCCCGCGCCGCTGCCCCGCAGGACACGGCCCCCTCCCAGGTCGTGCAGTGGTACGGCCCACCCTCCGTCGTGGGGCTCTGGGAGTGTCTCGGCCAGTCCCCGCCCTCCCCCGCCGGCTCCGTGGTGGCGGCTGAGCCGAGTTCCGGTTCCGGTGGCTGCGGCCGCGGGCGGGCGGTGAGGCTGGGGCGAGCGCGCGTTTGGCACTCGGACTCGGCGCCTGTCCATCGCCGCCCTCGGGGTGGCCGCAGCGCGGGGGCCTGTGCTGCCCCCCGACTCCCTTTCCCGGCGATGATGCGACCCGAGGGCGCGTCCGTCCCCCGCCGCCGCTGACCCGGGTCCCCCCACTCCATGGCCGCCTCGGCGCCGCCCCCACCGGACAAGCTGGAGGGAGGTGGCGGCCCCGCACCGCCCCCTGCGCCGCCCAGCACCGGGAGGAAGCAGGGAAAGGCCGGTGAGAGCGCCGAGAAGGCGGGGGCTGGAGAGACCGAGGACTTGAGGACCTCGGAGGGAGGCTGGGCGGGTGGGGGGAGCGGGGTCCCTCAGGCCGAGGGGCCCGAAGAGGATGGGTGGGTGAACCTCTGCAGGGATTGGGGGCAGGTGTCATAGATTGAGGACCTTAGAGTTTGGGGTGCACGTGGGATTCAGAAGCCACTTGGGAGTCCGAGGGTGTCAAGAGATGGGATGTCTCTCATTTAAAGGAAGAGGCCGCTGAAGAGTGTGGCGATACGATTTATTTTCCATATTATACCTTTGTTAGTATTTGTTAAAGTAAATAAGCAAGCGGATATTGAAGTTAAAAGCGTTCCTCAGGAGCAGGGCTGGGAAGGAAGGAGGTTGGGGAAACCTCAGGGAAACGCGTGTCTGCCTTTTGCTGCTCTTCCAGGTTTGCAAATGAAGAGCCCAGAAAAGAAGCGAAGGAAGTCGAATACTCAGGTGAAGGAATGGTGGTGGGTGGGCAGGAGCATCCACTCTGTCACCCCGATATGTTTGTGTCTTGGTCAGGTGCAGGGAGAGAGGCCGCTGTCCCCGCTGCTCTGTTTCTGGCCCTTTCCTTCAACCTCATAACTAATTGGTGGTGGTGAATGAGACGATTGGAACAAGGATCTTATCAGTCAGGATTAGAATCTTCCTCTCCCAGTTTTCCTGTTCTGGTCCCCTCATAACGATGAACTAACACCTACCACTTAACCTTTCCCGGGTGCTAGGGATTGTGCCCGAGTGCTTTAGCGGTTTGGGGAGATGGTATTGTCACCTTTACAGATGAGGACCCTGAGGCTTCAAGTGAAACCCCTGCGCCAGGATCTTGGGGTTATGCAGCGTCTGAGCTGGGGTTCCCGCATAGCTCTGTGCTCCACCCTCTGCTTCTCTGTTGCGTTCTAAGGTCCCTCTTGAGTTCAGACCTGAGCTGGCTGTAACCAGCCTCCAGAGTGTACTGTGTTCCTGCTGCTCTGGTGGCCTAGCTGTGCGCCTTCCTCCTTGACGCCCTCTTCCTCACTGTCCTCCACCAGGGCCCTGCGTACTCACATCTGACGGAGTTTGCGCCACCCCCGACTCCCATGGTGGACCACCTGGTTGCCTCCAACCCTTTTGAGGATGACTTCGGAGCCCCTAAGGTGGGGGGCACAGCCCCTCCATTCCTTGGCAGCCCTGTCCCTTTTGGAGGCTTCCGTGTACAGGGGGGCATGGCAGGCCAGGTGCCCCCAGGCTACGGCACTGGGGGCGGAGGGGGTCCCCAGCCTCTTCGTCGACAGCCTCCCCCTTTCCCTCCCAACCCTATGGGCCCTGCTTTCAACATGCCCCCCCAGGGCCCGGGCTACCCACCGCCAGGCAACATGAACTTTCCTGGCCAACCCTTCAACCAGCCTCTGGGTCAAAACTTTAGCCCTCCTGGTGGGCAGATGATGCCAGGCCCGGTGGGGGGGTTTGGCCCCATGATCTCACCTACCATGGGACAACCTCCCAGAGGGGATCTGGGTCCCCCATCTCTCCCCCAACGCTTTGCCCAGCCAGGAGCGCCCTTTGGCCCCTCTCCTCTCCAGAGACCTGGCCAGGGGCTCCCCAGCCTGCCCCCCAACACGAGCCCCTTCCCTGGTCCGGACCCTGGTTTTCCTGGCCCTGGCGGTGAGGATGGGGGAAAGCCCTTGAATCCACCAGCTCCCACTGCTTTCCCCCAGGAGCCCCACTCAGGCTCCCCGGCTGCTGCTGTTAATGGGAATCAACCCAGTTTCCCCCCGAACAGCAGTGGGCGGGGTGGGGGCACTCCAGATGCCAACAGCCTGGCACCCCCTGGGAAGCCAGGGGGTGGCTCAGGGCCCCAGCCGCCTCCAGGCCTGGTGTATCCATGCGGTGCCTGTCGCAGCGAGGTGAACGATGACCAGGACGCCATTCTGTGCGAGGCCTCCTGCCAGAAGTGGTTCCACCGCGAGTGCACGGGCATGACAGAGAACGCCTACGGGCTGCTGACCACCGAGGCCTCTGCCGTCTGGGCCTGCGACCTCTGCCTCAAGACCAAGGAGATCCAGTCTGTGTACATCCGCGAGGGCATGGGGCAGCTGGTGGCTGCCAACGATGGGTGACGCCGGCCAGGTGGCCCAGGGAAGCCCATACGTTCCTCCCTGCTCTTCCAGGGTGATTGTCTCCCTGTCTGGCTCTTGGTCCTTGTTTCCACTGGCTTCCGATCCCCCTGGAGCAGAAACACAGTGGCTCCTGGGGGCATAAGAGGAACTGAGGTGGGCAGGCAGAAGAGCCCGCATCGCTCATTTTTCTGGGAACCTTCATGTGGAGATCTGGAGAGATCCAGGAAACCAAAGCCCTGCCAAGCAGAGCCATTTTTTGGTGGCTGTCTCTGGAGGCCCAGGGTTTGGCTGCAAGAGAAAAGAGGCTGGAGAAAGGTCTGGAGGGCAGGGGTGTCCCCTGTGCAGATGATGGATGCCCCCAAAACCTGTGCCTAACACTCCTGTCGAGCCCCACAGCTCCAGCCTTAGCTTTTGGAGTCAAGTGTTAAAGGTTTCTGGCCAGAGGAGTTGGGGTCTCTTCCCATCCCTGCCGTAGCCCTTCCATGGGCTTTGGGAGACAGCTTTAGGGAGTAAAAGGGGGTGTCCCCCTTTTCCTACCCTCCCCTTGCCTCCTCCAAGACCTGCTCAACTCCCCCCTCAGAGAACCAAATAGCTTGAAGAAGCAGGCGAGTTCTTGGCCGTGGCCGTTTCTTGGTGATTTGGGGCTTCCAGACAGTAAGTAAGATGCTGTCGGGACATATCTCCCTCATACCAAAGTTACTGGTCCTGTCTCAGTCTCTCTCTTGCTTTTCTTCTCATGACCATATTTTTGCCAAAAATAGGGACATATGGTCTGACAGACCAGAGTATTTGAAGTTTGGACAGTCCTGGAAGCCTGGACTCTGTTGCGCCCCCCGCCGTCTGTTGCACATTATTCTCTGCGCTGGTCTTTAACTCCTGGCGCCCTTACTGCCCCGCCTCCCTGGCTTGAGTGAAGGAAAGCTTGAAAGGGTGCAGAGCCCTTATACCTCATTTCTTCTCCCGAAACAAGGATCCCTGTCACAGCCTGTGGGTGGGGGAAGCGGCGGGACCCTCATGGCCGAGGTACTGAAATGCAGCCCCAGCCGTGGGTGTTTCTTGCAGTTCTCTGTCCCTGCTGTTCTTTTTACCTTCTCGGGCCTTGTGAGCTAGCAGTTCTCTCAGCCAGAGTCCTGCCCTGGGCTTTATTGGTTTGTATTTTATTTTTAAAGCACTGCCTGCCAGAGATGGGCCTGGAGGTTGATCAGGAGCCCCTCACAGCTGCTCCCCGTTACAGCTGGTGCACACATTCCTCAATGGGGTGGGGAAGGCCGGCCTGGGGTGTGGTCCCCTGGACCCTGGTCGACGGCAAAATTCACCTGCCAGCCCAGGCAGAGCCAGCAGCCTTGGGCTGTGAGAGAAGGGAGCGCAGGGGCTCTGGGCTTCTCTCTTCTGGTGTCCCCCCCACTCTAAAACAGAGCAGGCAGCCCCCCACTGCTCTACTTTGTGTTGTGTTGGTGGTTCTGTTTACCCCTTTCATCTGTTGCTGTTTTTGAGACGTCTCCCCCACCTGGGCATTTTGTAAAGTGGCTCCTGGGGGAGGTCTGCTCAGTCCCGCACGCCACTACTTTTTGGAAGAAAGTGGGGGTGGCAGAGATGTGTGTGGGGGGGCTCTTTTGTACGGTTGGATTAATAAAATGACTTGAAAATCCAGACAAGGACTCCTTGCTGTTCGTGTGCGCAAAGGCTGGAGTGAGCCACTGTCCCCTGTCCCCGCTGTTGGTGGGAATGGCAGAGAGACCGGCCCTTGAGCTGACCGTGGTACAGGCTGCTGAGCCTGGGCCCAGGGAGGCCTGTGGGCCCCACCCTTCCATGTCATGCCTGTGAGAAAGTTTCTTTTCTGAGCACATTCCTGAGCTGGGCCTGGAGCCAAGAGGGAGCTTTGGCTCCAAGACATGGGGGAGACAAGTGCCAAGTTAGTGGTTCTGAGTTTAGCGCCCCCCCCCCAACCCTCAGTTGTTTGGATTAGGGGTCAAGTGTAGCTCCCAAGGGTGGGGAAGGGGCTGCCCCTGGTCCAGCACAGGTCATTTGGAGGTACATTTCAGACCCCTTCGCTTTGAGGGAAGTAGCAGTGGCATCCTTAAACGATAGCACTGGAGCAGGGTGGGCAGGATGGCAGGAGGGCTATTTCCACCCCACGATTTGCCGCTCTCCCCTCCCCCAGCCTGCAGCTGTCCCTGTCTATCCTGGGACCAATCTGGCCTGTGTCCCTGTGTCTCGGGAGAAGTCACCCTTTGCCTTTCCGTTTGGGGTCTTCCCTCTAGAAACTAGACACTGCGAAAGGAAAAGTCACCCAGAATTCAGTCTGCTGGAACCCCAGTCTCCCACTGGGACGTAAGTCCAGGTTTAAGGGCTTAACAGGTCCCCCTTCCCCGCCCCGGGCTCTCAACGCCAGCTCTCATTGGCCAGAAGTTTCCGCCCCCACAGGGAGGTTGACTTCCCATTGGTCAGTTCCTGATCACATGGCTCCGCTCCTTTCGGGGGGCTGGGAACTAGGGGAGGCAGCCACAAGTTGAGCTGAAGACTGAAGCAAGAGCTGGGTCAGGTAATGCCCCAGCGGGGAGGAGGCCCGCAGATCCTGCTGTGGGACGGAGGGTGACGGGAGAGGAAGGGCGGAAATCGAAGGGCTGGGCTCGCCGGGCATCAACAGAGCTGCTGTCACTGCTGGGCTGGGGGAAGGGGGACCATGGGCGGCCCCAGGCTGGCACTTGTGGCCCTAGGTCCTTTGCTTTAGAGAGGTTTGGGGGAACAACTCTTAGAGGGGCTGAAATGAGCTAGACCAGACTTCCCAGCTCTGTACAGAGTGGGAGAGCTCCCCCTTTAGCTGTCTTTTAGAAATAGCAGAAGCCTCTGACAATCCTTAAAGGGTGTTTTTGTTGAATCCTGCCTGAATGAAAACAGAGGGGGGAGGGAGTGGGGGAGGGAGTGGAGGTAGGTTTTCTTCCAAGGGGTGGATGAGAAGAAAGATCTGAAAACACAGCGGGGCAGGGTGGAGATTAGACAGCAGAAGGAACATCCTAATAAGGCAGTGAGATGTTGGCAGGATTGCGGGGGGATGGGGGTTTGGGAATCTTGAGTGAACCCAACCAAGAGAGAGGTCCCAGGATTTAGAACCCTGAGTGCAGGGGTTCCAGACTGTCCCCTGTTTGGGTCTCAGAAGTGTTCCTCTGGTTGACCCAAATACCCTTACGGGTTTCCATGGAGACAAGTGGGTCTTACATCACCCTGGTTGCCATGGTGCCTGGTTCTGAAGGACCTGAGCAGGCTGTACACAGCCAGGGATAAACAGGGACTTCAGCTCAAGCTGCTGCCACTTCCTTCCTGCTACCACCTGTTAACAGTCACACGCAGTAACTGGGGATGGGGTGATGATGACAGAACAGCGGGGGAGGGGCCTGAGAGCAGCTGGCCGCACAGCGATGGCTCTGTGGATGCTGGTCAGGGTGTCCTGTTGGACTTGGTGTGGGGAGTCACTACAGCCATTCTCCTGTGTCCTTGTGGGATGGGTGTGTGCGTCTGGAAGCCATGAGCATAGGGGAAGACACCGTGAGAGTCCTTCATATGTCCCGGGCGTGGACCTTGCAGGGCCACAGGAGGTTATTAGGGCCGTGTGCAGGCCGTACACCCATTCACACGGAAGGGACATAGCATGTGGCTTCCCAGGGAGCACTGCCATCCGTCTCTCGCAGCCTCACTTCCCTCTCCCAGCGTTTCCTTATGGAGTCCTCTCCCACTTGTCACCCTTCTAGCCGCTCAGTAAGAAATTATTTCCCCTCCTCTGAAGCATCGCTGTCTGAGAGTCAGGGGGGCAGCTCGTGAGCTGCCCCCCCCCCAGGGGACAGTCTGAGCCTTGAAGGAAGGCGTAGGTCCCTGTCTTCTTACCCTGTTTTGTGTCAGGCTTTGGAACTGGAGGGACCCCTACCCTGTCAGGTCATCCAGAGCAGGTCAGCAGGGGCGGGACCTCAGCCCTGACTTTTGTCCAAGCTTTGCAAACTGTACCGTCTTTGTACGTGAGAGTTGCTGTAAAGCCCTTCTCCCAGTTACCTCCAAGTTCCCTAAGACGAAACTCGGGATGACTAAGAAGGGAACAGAATTTAGAATGGAGGGTGAGAGTGACAGTTGATGGACCTAAGCTGTGCTGGTGGTCTCAACCTTGGCTGCACGTGGGAGTCACCTGGGAGGTTTTAAAAATGACCCGTGCCTGAGCCTGAGCCTGACACCAGTCAAAGCAGGACCTTAGGTGACTCCAATGTTGAGAACCCCTGAACTAGAACAGACAAAGGACATGGTGGGTGAGAGACCTGGGGCTGAAGGTGGTCCTGGAGTCTTCTCTTTAGCTCTGGGGGAGGAGGTAGTGATTGTGGGGAAACCTGGGGGGCAGTGAAGGGAGGGCTGGGCTGTTTTCCTCACTCTTCTTGTTCGCTGTTCATCTTTGCCAGTCAGATCGGCCACCTTTCTGGCCTTCATCTGCCCTGACCATTGCATGAGGGAGTTGGCCCGTTCTTCCCCGAAGCCTTCCCAGTCTCTGCTTCATCGACCTTTCAAGGTCAGTTCAGTTTCCCAAGGCCCTGTTGGCCCCTGGGAGAGGCATACTTCTCTGTGGCTGTCAGCAGGTTCTAATTTGCAAGGCAAATGCTGCCCAGCAGAGTTGAGGTGTTAGGGTCAGACGGACTGGAACCAGGCTGGCTCTGGATGGAAGCTGCTGCCCAGCCCTTAAACCTTGGAACCCAGCCAAGGCCGCCCTCTGCACCCTGCCTCCCCTGAAGGGAGCTGGGGTCCTGAAGAGAGCTTTTCTCTGCAGGTGGCAGCCACAGCGCCTCCGGGATCTCAGCAACAATGGCCTCCTGCCCAGACTCGGACAATAGCTGGGTACTTGCCGGCTCTGAGGTAGGAAACGCAGGCCTGGGAACCACACGGAGGTGGGATTCTTGCAGGGCTGGGATGCTTTCTGGGTCTGTCCCCTTCCTGCATCCTGATGGTCACCTGCATCACGTCCTGCCACCTGTGAGAGGCGTCTAGTGGCAAGGGAAGGAAATCAGGTGTTGGGCCTTGGACCGTGCCCGGGAAGAAGGGTATGGCTGGGATAAGCTGTGAGAAGCTGGGAAGAAGTTTTGGTGGGGAGATCAGCGTGAGCACAGGTTCTGGGGCAACAATGGGAAAGCCTTTCTCGGGGAGACCAACAGGGGGCTGTTGGATGAGGTGGCGATGTGGGTCAGACAGTGTTGGGGTGAGGTTGGGGGCAGAGCCCGGGAACGTCTGGAAGAGGCCTGAAGGGCCTGCCTGGCTCAGGGAAGTCCCTGAAGGGCTTTGAGTCGGGGGATGGTTGGGGGGTGGGCAGGACACTCATTGCCCTGGGCACAGAGTGAAGCCACTATGAGGCCTGGGAGAAAGTGTTTGAAGATCCTGCTGTCCAGGTAGTAGTTGGTGGGGCAGGAACCAAGGGGACCCCTGTGCTCCCAAAGCCACTGAAAGGCAGAGGAGCCGGCAGGTTGGGGGACTGGGTGGCTGGAGACAGTTTGTCAAGGGAGCCAAGCCCCAGTGGCTTGGGGTGTTCCAACTGCCGGGAGGGGAGGTGCGGAGTTTAGGTGGCTTGTGGCAGAGAAGGACAGACACCCTGCTCTCAGCCAGAGCCCCGGGGTGCCTTTGCTGACAGCTGGGCATGTCACCTCCATGTCCTCCCCTGCAAAAGGGGGTTTATGACCGTTGCCTTGTAGAGGCGACCATGAGAAAAAAGCGATTTGAAAATTGCAAAGAAACATGCTGAGGTCAGGAGTTATTCTTGGAGGGGTGGCTGGGAACCATGGATGGGCTGAGCGGGCGGTGGGCCTGCCCGGAGGGAGAAGGGGCTGAGCCTGAGCGGCCAGCCCAGAGCACCGTGGGGCACAGGCTGTGGTGGCCTGGGCTTCTGCGAGCAGCTCCTGGGGAAGCCGGCGTAGGGGGTGGGGAAGGCCGGGAGAGCTCGGAAGGCCTAAGTGAAGTGGGTGGCCCGTTGTGAGAGCAGCTGCAGGGAAGGCTGTGGGGAACGTGCTGCAATCCTTCCGTACCCAGGGGACTTGGTTCTCTTGCTATCCTCCCACCTTCCAACCAACAACTGGGTTGGTCACTTGTGGGGAGGCAGGGTCGCGTGTGCTGATGCTCTTGGAAGGCACGAGACCCAGGTTTGTCCGGCGGTCCAGGGCCTTGGTCCACTGGTGCCTCTTTGTTGAACAGAATCTTGGCCTCTGAAAGTTCCTCCGAGAGGAAGTGAGGTTGGGAGAGGGCCAAACGTGACGTCAAGCTAAGATGCTGCAGTGCCAGCCAAGACCCCCCCCCTCCGTCCCCCCCTTGGATCAGCTCACTGCTGAACTGTTATATTTTTGTGACATATGGGTTAGACTCCCCGAGCAGTGCGGCTGGTCCCAGGGACCCCGGCAGAGCACCCTGTGCTCCTGGTTTTGTCCTGTTGTCCTTCCTCTGGACACATCCTGTTTGTACCCCTCCCCCCAGAGCCTGTCTGTGGAGACCCTGGGCCCAGAACCCAGGATGGACCCAGAACCTGAGAGAGCTCCCCAGGCCCCTCAGAGCCCCTCCAAAGCAGATGGTGGAGCATTAGCTGGGACTTTGGATGGAGAAGGTAACAGGGCTTTGCTGAGGGAGGGGTGCAGCCATCTATCCTCCATGTTCTGGGGGTTCCCGGTTTCCTCAGGGAGAGGGAGGTTGGTTAGTCTTATTTCCCATGTTAACCTCAGTTTAAGACCTCCCCTCATTCCATCCTGGCGTCTCCCTGCCCCTTTCAACCTGGTAGGGCCTGCAGGAGCCCCACGGCTGTGCAGGGCGTTCAGGTGGGGGCAGCAGTGCTTTTCTGGCCCTTTCCTCTCACCACAGAGACCCTCTTCCAGAGTGAAAGCTCCAAGCCTGGTCCCATTGTGCTGGAAGAGACTGAGGCCAAGGTGAGCACCTTCACCTGGGGAAGGGGAAGACGTGGGGAGGGCCAGGAGCTGCTCACGGCTATGTCTGTATCAGGGCGTCCTGGAAGGTGATGGTCTTGCTATGGAGTCCCCTGGCCCAAGAGACCCAGAGGCCCAGGGAGAGTTGGAGGAGACCCTCGTGGTGGCAGACCTGGGACCAGACGCCCAGGACCTGGAGGATCAGGGCGCCCACCAGAGCCTGCCCTCATCCTCCAAAGCAGGTGAGAGTCCTCCTTGTCTCCCTTTGGCACTATCCTTCCAGAAGGTAGGCGAGTGGGATTAGCTGTCACGCCTGAGCACAGCTCTGGTCCAGGCCCTAGAACTTAGGCGCCTCCTTAAATCATATCAGGGAATCCTCAACACCACCCCGAGGACTCTGAGGCTCAGAGAGGTTAAGTGACTTGGCCAAGGTCACACAGCTGGTAAGTGGCAGGGCCCAGGTCTGGTTGACTCTTTCCTCTCTGCCATGGGGCCTCTGGAGTCAGCTCTCCTCCCCTGAGTCCCTCCGTGTGTTAGCTCTGCGCCCTGGGGAGGCGGGAGGGCGATGGGTCAACACCTATATAAGCGTCAGACCATGAGGGGTGCAAAATGAGGTGTAAGGAAGGTGGTCCACAAGAGGGGAGGGTGGTCCGGTCAGGGGACAGGCTGAGGGGAAAGGAGGGGCAGGGACAGTTGGGGCAAGCTTCACACTCGAGGTGACACGTAAATGGAGCCTGGAGCAAAGAGTCGGCTTTTGGTAGGTAGGGAAGGAGAAAGAGAACGTTCTAGGCTGAGGCTACAGCATCGGCAAAGGGCTGGGGCCACCTGTCCTGTGCTAAGGAGGCCGCATCCAAGGCTTGTTGCAGAGGAGCGTATGAATCCGGCCGTGTTGACGGGTGACAGGATGGAGGGAGAGGCCGGGGCCTGGGGCCCTTTAGGAGGCAACGGCCGTGGTCAGGCAGAGCCCTGAAGACCTGACTAAGGCGAATCAAGGCGTGTGATGTCGAGACGTTCGAGTGTCGAGCTGTGTGGGTGTGAGGCGAGGACATGGGTTGGCTCCATGGCAGCAGTGTGCCTTTCCCTGAACTGGGGGAACACCGGAAGAGAACCAGTTTGGAGGGCAGTGTGTTGAGTGCTCGGTCCCCCGGGACACCCAGGTAGGAGCAACCCGTGGGCAGGCAGACGTCCCGGCTTGGAGCTTTACGGAGGACAGGTCAGGCGCTCCCGATGAGGGCCTGCTCTGCTCCAGGGGGCCGTCCGCGGTGTGGGTGAGGTGGTGGGTGACTGCGCAGCGAGGGGAGCAGGGACACGCGTGGTGCCAGGAGACTGCCACCTTTAGGCCTGGGCGGAGCCAGGGAGGGCCTGAGTTAGGCCGGAGTAGGAAGGTGGACAGAAAGCAGGCGCGTGATGTGAGGCACACGGAGGCAGGAGGGTGCTTTTAGGATGAAAGCTGCCCTTGTGGTTTGCAGGTTGAAAGGAGTCAGGGTGGCAGGGCTGGCATCGATGCCCAGGCAGATAGGGGCAGGGTCTCCAGGTGCCCCTCTGTGCGGTCAGGGCTGAGGGCCTCCCTGTCCCTTCTCTCCCTGTGTCCCATCCCTCCGGTGGCCTCACTGCCATGTCCCCGCCCCTTCCTCCAGCTTGGATCACGGAGGAGGCCCACTGTACCAGCAGCGGGGACGACACTGACGTGGACGTGGAGGGTCTGAGGAGACGGCGGGGCCGGGAGCCCAGCACCCCTCAGCCTGCCGGTCCCATGGGTGTGGAGCACCAGGCCGGAGGCGAGGGGCTGGGCGGGGAGCTGGGCATCTCCCTCAACATGTGCCTCCTCGGGGCCCTGGTTCTGCTGGGCCTGGGGGTTCTCCTCTTCTCTGGTGAGTGTTGCCTCCCCGCTGGGGTTTGAACCGCTGCCCTTCTGCCCTTTACCTCACTCCACCCCTCCTCCCATGGCCTCGCCATGCTGCTCTGTCTCCATCCTCAGGGGGCCTGTCAGAGACTGAGAGCAGTGAGTGGGGAGGGCCCTGGCTGGTTCCTGCCTGAGGGAGGCTGATGGGGCCGGCTCTCTGGGTCAGAAGTCAGGAGGCTGGGGTTGTGCATTTATTGCTCAGTTACACCTTGTCAGCTGTTCAGGGTAACCCGTGGCTCCTAACCTGGCTAGACCTCTCAGCCATGGGTGGGCCCAGGGCAGGAGGGTAATTGTGCGTGCGCGTGAGGGGGTGGAGGAGTGGGCTCTGTGTGCCTCGGGGCCAGTTTCAGGACGTCACTTTCCTACAGGGACCATGGAGGAAGTGGAACTGCAGGTCTTTCCAGATGCTGGGGTGGGCACCGAGATGCTGGGTGCTGTGGGGGACGGGCAGGTACGTGCGAGCATGTCCTTCAGCCTGTGGGCTGGTGGGGGAGGCCCTGGGCTGCAGGGCAGCGTGGGGTAACTGGCTCCTTTGCCCTTAGGATGGGCTACGGCAGCAGCTGCAGGCCTCAGAGCCCCCTGACGGTGTCCCCAGCCTACAGGACATGGCCCTTCTGCTGGACAAGCTGGCCAAGGAGAACCAGGACATCCGGCTGCTGCAGGCCCAGCTGCAGGTGGGCACGAGCGGGAGGGGGTGGGCTAGGCCGGTGTCTGTCCTGGTGTCCTCCCTGAGAAGTTTCCTGCGTTTACCCACACACTTCGACCCTCTGCCTCTCCCACTGTAGTCAGGTCATCTTCCTAGTTCCCTGCTCATATCCCTCAGGCTAAGGGTTCAGGCCAGGGCTGGCATACCGGTTTCATGTGGCATGCCACCTCTGATTGATTGGTATGGTCTGCATAGAGCATTGTGTGGGGAAGGATTGGAAGACCAAGCCAAGGCTCAATGGGAAAGAAGTGCTGTGATCGATTGATAATGTCTGTTCGGGGCACGGGAGGTGGAAACAAGGCAATGAGTGCCACATACTGGCTATCCTTAGGTGAATCGCAGAAGTGTGTGTTTATGTAAGGACATGGAAGCCGAGGCCTGTGATGGAATTTGGGGACGTTTGGGTCTGGTGCAGGTTGCAGATGGGGAGGAGGATGAGAACCAAGTCCTCTGAGTGTCCCAGGCCATAAAAGAGGCTTGGGGCCCCTGCTCACTATACCGGAATGGAATTGGGCTAGAAGGCACAGGGGCCCATCCTGAAAGGACCCTTCTGTGGTGCCCTCCATCCCTACCTCCATTCCAGGCCCAGAAGGAAGAGCTTCAGAGCCTGATGCACCAGCCCAAAGGGCTAGAGGAGGAGAACGCCCAGCTCCGGGGGGCCCTGCAGCAGCGCGAGGCCTCCCAGCGGGCCCTGGAATCTGAGCTGCAGCAGCTGCGGGCCCGGCTCCAGGGGCTGGAGGCTGACTGTGTCCGGAACACAGACGGGGTGTGCCTCAACTGGGGCCGAGGTCCGCAGGGTGGCAAGGTCAGCAAGGGGCAAGGCCCCAGTGAGCAGAAGCCAGGCCCTGGCTTCCTGGAGCAAAAGGAACGGCTCGAGACTGAGGCCCAGGCATTACGGCAAGAGCTGGAGAGACAGCGGCGGCTGCTGGGGTCTGTGCGGCAGGACCTGGAGCACAGCTTGAGGGGCGCAGGCCGAGGGGACCTAGCCCGTGCTGGCCTAGCTGAGCTGGGCCACAGGCTGGCCCAGAAGCTGCAGGGCCTGGAGAACTGGGGCCAGCACCCTGGGGTCCCTGCCAATGCCTCAGAGGCCTGGCACCCGGAGCCCCACTCTCAGAGTTCCAGAGAGCGGAGCGGCAAGGAAAAGTGGCGGGATGGGCAGGGGGACCGGAAGGCTGAGCACTGGAAGCATAAAAAGGAGGAGTCTGGCCGGGAAAGGAAGAAGAGCTGGGGGGGTGAGGAGGACAGGGAGCCGGCGGGGAGGTGGAAGGAAGGCAAGCCCAGGGTGGAGGAAGGGGGCAGCAAGAAGGACAGTAAGCGACAGGGCCCCAAGGATGCCCCCAGGAAAAGCGGAAGCCCCCACTCCTTTGGAGAAAGGCAGAAGCACCCTCAGTGGAAGGAAGGGGCTAAAGACAGGCATGACCCCCTGCCGCTGTGGGCAGAGCTGTCCAGGCACAAGTACCGAGCACCCCAGGGCTGTTCGGGCGTGCACGAGTGTGCCCGGCAGGAGGGCCTGGCCTTCTTCGGCATGGAGCTGGCCCCAGTGCGGCAACAGGAGCTGGCCTCTCTGCTGAGGACGTACCTGGCCCGGCTCCCCTGGGCCAGGCAGCTGACCGAGGAGCTCCCCCTCTCACCTGCTTACTTTGGTGAGGATGGGGTCTTCCGCCACGACCGCCTCCGCTTCCGGGACTTCGTGGATGCCTTGGAGGACAGCCTGGAAGAGGTGGCTGTGAGACAGACAGGGGACGATGACGAGGTGGATGACTTTGAGGACTTCATCTTCCGCCACTTCTTTGGAGACAAAGCGCTGAAGAAGAGGTGGGCAGCTGTGTGTGTGTGGGTGGG